CTGGAACTGGAGTTACAGACAGTTGTGAGCTGCCACTCGTGTGCTGGGAATTGAACCCGGGTCCTTTGGAAGAGCAGAGAGTGCTCCTAACCTCTGAGCCAACCCTCCAGCTCCCGAGTTTATTTGTTTATATTTAGAGTATGTACCCATACATTTTTATTTCTGTCTAGCATACGACTTTTTTTTTCTTTTTATCATATTGTAGTTTGAATAACTTACTTTTTCTTGCTCTGAGGGGGCTATCTGTTTTCTAACAGGAACATTACTTTCTCTTGTTTAGTTTGAAAGCTGTGTGTATTGTGTTTCTAGTTCCTCTATTGTCACAAGCACTCGTCATGGGTGTGATGTTCTAGTATCCTCTGGGAGTGATAGTCGGGCCTGGATTGCTTTCTTGTCACCACTAAACTGGGTGTGGCCTTTACCATTCCAGCTCTCAGGGGTCCTTTTACTTTATTTTTTTATTTATTACAATTTATTCACTTTGTATCCCAGCTGGGACCCCCTCCCAAATCCCCTCCAAATTCTGCCCTTCCTCCCTCTTCTCCTCTCATGCCCCTCCCACAGTCCATTAATAGGGGAGGGCCTCCTCCCCTTCCATCTGACCCTAGCCTATCAGGCCTCATTGGGACTGGCTGCATTGTCTTCCTCTGTGGCCTGGTAAGGCTGCACCCCATCAGGGGGAGGTATTCAAAGAGCCAGCCACTGAGTTCATGTCAGAGAAAACCCTGTTCCTCTTACTAGGGAACCCACTTGGAGACTGAGCTGCCATGGGCTACATCTGTGCAGGGGTTCTAGGTTATCTCCATGAATGGTTGAAGTATCAGTCTCAGAAGAGACCCCTGGGCCCAGATTTTTTGGTTCTGTTGCTCTCCTTGTGGAGCTCCTGTGGCCTCCAGGTCTTTCTATCTCCCCCTTCTTTCATAAGATTCCCTGCACTCTGCCCAAAGTTTGATTATGAGTCTCAGCATCTGCTTCGATAACCTACTGGGTAGAATCTTTCAGAGGCCCTCTGTCGAAGTCTCCTGTCCTGTTCCCTGTTTTCTCCCTCTTCCAATGTCCATCCCATTTGCCTTTCTGAATGAGGATTGAGCATCTTACCCAGGGTCCTCCTTCTTGCTTAGCTTCTTTAGGTGTGCAGATTTTAGTATGATTATCCTATATTACATGTCTAATATCCATTTATAAGTGAGCATATACCACGTGTGTCTTTCTGCTTCTGGGATACCTCACTTAGGACGATCTTTTCTAGTTCCCCCCATTTGCCTGCAAGTGTCATGATTTCCTTGTTTTTAATTGCTGCGTAGTATTCCATTGTGTAAATGTACCGCAATTTCTGTATCCATTCCTCCCTTGAGAGACATCTAGGTTGTTTCCAGATTCTGGCTATTACAAATAAAGCTGCTACGAGCATTATTGAACAAATGTCCTTGTTGTATATTGAGCATATTTTGGATATATGTCTAGGAGTGCTATAGCTGGATCTTGAGGTAGTACTATTCCTAGTTGTCTGAGAAATCACCAGACTGATTTCCAAAGTGGTTTGCAAGTTTTCATTCTCACCAGCAATGGAGGAGGGTTCTCAGGGGTCCTTTTTATAGTCCCTCTCTATGTGGGCTTTGGTATCTCATTTGGCTCTCTGTGTGCGTGCATGTATGTGTATGTGTGTGTGTGTGTGTGTGTGTGTGTGTACATGTATGTGTGTACATGTGTATATGTGTGTGTTTGTGCATGTGTATGTATGTGTTTGTGGGTATATATGTATGTGGTTATGTATGTGACTCTGCACATGCATATACTTGCAATCTGGAGGTCAGAGGTCATCCTGAGATGATCTATACACAGAAGCCATCCAGCTTGCTCTTTTGACACAGGGTGTCTCGCTGGGGCTTGGGACTCACAGATTGGGCTAGGCTACTGGCAAACATGCCCTAGAGAGCTGCCTGTCTCTGCCACACTGGCTCTAGGATTACAAGTGCATGCCGCCAGGCCTGGCTTTTTACACAGGTGCTGAGGATCCTGCCCACGTTATCATCTTCCACGGCAAGTACGTTATCAGCTGAGCTATTTCCTGAGCCCCACATCTGGGTCTTCTGAAAGGACGAATGAAGGTACAGCTTCATTTCTTTCGCACTGGCAGTTGCCTTCTGCTCACACACCGGATTTCATTCATTATGCAAAGGCTGGGCTGATGGTGTTTTTCAACCTGTTGTGTCTTTGGTGCTCTTACAAATAATACTTTAAGCCACATTTTAAAATGATGCTCAGAGAAATGATTGGCATATCCAATCGAGTCTTCCAGTGACTGGAACCAGACAAAGCAGCAGCCTTGCTTCCAACTTCACAACTGATGTGTCTTCAAATCTTTTAACAGTCACAGCAATGCTAGGAATCAGAGTGTTTACTATCTGCTTCTTATTTTGTTAGTTACCATTTTAAAAACAAATACGTCTTTTTTTTTTTTTCCAAGACAGGGTTTCTCTGTGTAGACCTGTCTGTCCTGGACTTATTTTGTAGACCAGGCTGGCCTTGAACTCACAGAGATCTGCCTCTGCCTTTCTGAGTGCTGGGATTACAGGCGTGCACCACCTTTTCTGGCTATTTTATGTGTATTATTATGGGGGTGTCAGATCTCCTGGAACTGGAGTTATAGATTGATGTGAAATGCCATGTGGTTGTGGGGCATTGACCCTGGGTTCTCCAATAACAGCCAGTGCTCTTACCCACTGAGCCAACGCTCTAACCTCTGTCACAGAGGATTTTAACAAAATTTGAAGAATAAACATTTATTATTTGACATTCCATACAAAGGACAGGTTTGAGAAAAACAGATAGTATTATTTTATGAAGGCTAAAGTTAGTTCATTTAGAAGACTACCCTCACGAGTGGAGATAAGGCAGCTGTCAACAGTGAACGGTCAGTGAGCAATGCGCCCACACGGAGAGCATTTTAATGGTGCAGCCTGAAGACTGAGGTTTTAGTGGCTACTTCATTGTGTAGTAATTATTATACTCATTGATGGTATCCCAAGAAAGACTTTCCAGTGCAAACAGCGCTGTTACACAGAAAGATGAATGATATTGGTCTCTGCTTAGACAATTCCATTCTAACTTAAGTATGACCCTATGCCCAAGGGGATTGCATCATCAGAGACAAAAACAAAACAAAGCAAAACAGATGAGCCCTGGCAATTCTCATTGTCCTTTTATTTTTCCCTTCACTGTCATTTCATTTCACTGTCATTTCTGGGAACAATGGCATAGGACCTCTCAGAGCTGGACGATGGCATATAGCTTTAGGTCAGGTCAAATCTCCTCCCAGCTTTCCTCAGTTCCTGGGAATACATGGGAATGTGTGTTACCTGTTTTGTAGCCAGTTACAGAACAGTCCTCAATGAGTGACCCAGTCCAGGGTTTCTTTTGGTAACAGTTTTCCATTTCTAGGCCTCAGTTGTTCTAATTCACTATGAAAATATTTGAGTGTGGTTATCCATGCCTTTAGTCCCAGCCCTTGGGAGGCAGAAGAAAACCAGCCTCTGTGAACTTAAGCCAGCCAAGGTTGCATAGTGAAACCCTGTCAAAAAGTAAATAAATAAAAAAAAAAAAAAGGAGAAAAGGAGAAAAACGCTGGGGTGAGGGAATTTGAGTTGCAGCCAAGAGAGAAACTAGAAATCAGTACTTCTTTCTGGCTTTACAGCACAGATTCGTCCTTTCTGAGGTTAACCCAGAGCTAGTGGAAGAACACTTCTCTGACCTGAAGGACATCTCGTAGCCCTCCTCCTAGCCTCACCCCACTCGGAAACCATACGGAGGCAAATCTGGAGCCCAGCACTGATAACTTCCAGCACTTAGCAACCCTTTTCAGTTCTGCCAGCTTTTGCTGTCTCCGCAGTTCAAGGTTGCCAGAGCTGCAGGTTAAAGAAGCGACAGGTGACAGACCACAGGCATCTCGAAAACCTCACGGTGTCCTGGGCAGTACCAGGTATCACCTCACCCTCTGGTCTCTTCCCTGCTCAGGACTGCCTCCCCTTGGAGATCACCTTCTCTTGGATTATACAAACGTGGAGTTGAAGTCCCCTCTGGTCTCTAAGGACTTCAACTTGGGCATCAGGGAGGGGCTGCAGAGCTCACTGCTTCTGCTCCTGCAGCAGCCGAGGCAGCAGCAACCTGCAGCTCAGAAGGGAACAGATCTTCAGGCAGCAGCAGCGAGCCTTGGGAGCAGAGAGTGAGCACTGCAACCCTGTAGTGGGAGTTGTTTTCACTGGGCTGTTCATTGGGGTAGTAAATTACTTCTATCTCACCAACTGGACTGAGAATTCTCCAGAGACGTGGTAGGGGTCACCTCTCCCTTAATCATTCTGTTGGGCGCTTAACACCCTTGCAATAGTTAAACGAATAGGTATCATTTCCAAAGGGCCAGATCTGAATTGTGGATGAGCGCTTGGACTTTACCTGTTTCCTGGTCTGTCTTGGGCTAGGGCACAGGTCAAGTAGCTTGTGCCCAGCACATGGCAAACAGTGGCCACAGCACATCAGGAGTGTGGGAGCATCAGGTCCCACATCTCCATCCTGCTTTTTTTCTGGGCTCCCTGGGGTATTACGGTTGCCATAGCACACAGCTGGAGGAAGCGTGGAGGAGCAGTGTGGTGAAACAGGACCACCACACAGCCCTTATCCTCTGGACAAACAAACGTCTGTCAGCCCAGGGCAGTTTGAGCTGGAGCTCACCAACTATCTGCTTTCTCTACCTGGTCAGTATTATTACTCAGTTTGCCTCCACAGTCTAGCTCAGGACTCTCCCTTGGGGCTTCCCTCCTCCCTAGCTCCGGCTCCTGGCACCTGCCTGGCTGTCATAGTAACAGGTTCCAGGGTGACAAAAGAGGGAGCTGGGTCTTGTGGGTAAGGCTTTTAGGACTATAGAGACTGCCCGGGCTGCACCCATCCAATCTTTCTGTGTTTCTTTCTCAGGCTGAGCTCACACCCCCACACCAGCCAAAAGGATCATGTCCACCAGCCTGACCACTTGTGAATGGAAGAAAGTCTTCTACGAGAAGATGGAGGTGGCAAAGCCAGCTGACAGCTGGGAGCTGATTATAGATCCCAACCTCAAGCCCAACGAGCTGGGCCCAGGCTGGAAGCAGTATCTGGAACAGCATGCCTCAGGCAGGTGAGAGGCAGATGGGAGTTTGGGGAGGGAGCCCCCGTGGGGTGAGGGTCACGGACTTTTCAAGTACGGGCCTGCGGTAGGTCTCACCTGGAAGTAGAGACTGGACTGCCTCGAGGGCCATGGGGGCTTTGCTTCTAACCACAGCTGTTCAGATTCCTTAGTTACTCTGGGTAAATTGTGCTCTGCCTGTGAGTCTCAGTTTTCCACAGAAAACCCAAGACTGGAGAAAACCTTCAGTTCCCTGAAAATTCGGATGCTTAGTGCAGTTGGAATGGAGAGGAGGTGCAATGGGGGTCCTCAGAATTCTCAACCTAGAAGTCAGGGGACTTGTGCTTGGGGGGGCTGTGGCATCCCTCTGTTCTACCAAATGCAACTAGACTTGGGGACATAATACATTTGCTGTTGACCACAGGCTATGTGGACCTGGTTGTGTAGCTCTGTGGACTTGGGTATGTCCTCTTTTTCCTCTGGCTCCCAGTTTTCACATTCACGAATCAAGGGGGCTCAACTTAGTTGCTCTTAAAACATTTTGCAAATCCCTTCCACCTCTAATATCCGTGGCTGATAAAACTGCTGACCTCAGGCAGGACTTCCCCTCCATCTTCTGCTTCCTAAGTGTTCCTTTTTTCCACTGTGCAAAGTGTCCTTGTGGCTTTCTAAAGCCGGCATCACTTCCCTCTTACAAGCCAGGTGGTTTGGGACTGGAGCCACAGTTTGTTGCTCACACAGCCTCCAGCCTACCTGCAGGAACTAAGCACTCCTCCTCTTTGGATATTTGGATTCACAGGAGATCAGCTGGTGGCTGTGTTGTGGAGGTGTGTGGACGAAATATGGCAGAGACAGGGTTGTCCATAGTGTGTGGGTGTGAAGCCTCTTGAGTAGAGAACAGAACAACATGAAGATAGGAGCAGGAAAAAAAAAGGCTATGAGTGGAGAGTGGGCATCTGGACTCTTAGCACCGGCCTTACAAACAAATAAATGGATCCTGTATTGATAAAAGACAGAGAGCAGAGGTCAACTGGTTTGTGTTGGCTCCTATTATAGACACTGGGAACTGGATATTCCTCTAAGTAGCTTCATGTCCTTGTTTTCTATGCTTCTGTAACATTTCCCCCCAAAATGTTCACCCATGTCGGATACTTTTGGAAATTATGGGGTTTGCCTTGAGGGAGGGGAAATAATTCTGGATTGGTTTATTTAATAAAACCTAGGAGACTGAAAGCACAAAGCATTTGAGCCTCATGGAGGATAAAATGCAGATTGTTGGGAACTGGTGTGCGGGACTTCTGGAGTTTAGGGACAGCTCCAAAGGCTCACAGATCTTCTCACCTCAGGGCTTAGGCCCAGCTGGCCTCAGGAAGGGCTGGAGCATAGATGTGCTTTTAATCTTTCAGATGCATTAACTCTTGGGCCTGACAGAACTGACCCAGTATAGGGCTGGGAAGAGGACCAATCAGACTCCTCTGCCCTTTGTCCGTGTATTGGGTGGAGCTGGGTGTTGTTCTACACTTAGATTGTTCCTGGCTTCCACAGTTCAGAAGCTGGCTTGGTCTCATTGCTATTCCACTGTAGCCGAGTAGCACTTAAAATATAGTCGGTGCCTGATGAATTGAGCTGGGTTCTTCATCAGAGGTCCTTTAAAGTCATTGTGCAATGGACTTAGGCAGAGCCAAAGAGGAAGACAGAATCAGCCCAGTGGACATGCAAATACCTCAGGAAGCCTTTGAAACAGGGTCTCAGAATAAACCATTTCAGGGGCATAGGAGCCTGTCTGGAGTTAAGGAGAGCTCCATCACAGAAGGTATGTAAGCACTGCTGAGAGGCTAGGAGGACCAAGGCTTGGCCCTCGGCCACCCCGCTCCATGCTTTCTGAGGCTGTGGCCTGTGTGAAGGCCAGGCTGGGGGCAGGTATGTCAGGGAACAAAGTCTACTTTTCCCATTCTCAAACAGGACTGCTGTGTGCCTAGGTGTGCCTGGTCAAGGGGTGTGCGTCTCTGCAGATGTAAGAGCCAAACTTGGCATAGCTCCCACCCAATCTTCGGCAGTCTGCTGACCTTCCCGGTTTACTAACTGTGGCGTTAGCCTACACCCAGGACTACCAAGTTCAGAGTGAGGGGAGGTACCACGTGCTCCCCAAGGTTTCCAACATAACTGGTCCTTTCTGGATGGCTTATTGCAGACCTACAGTGTGCCAGGCTCTGAGCCTGCATGCCATCTCTGAGCAAGCAAGATGCAGGGGTCAGATGGGGACATTACCACGCTTATCAGAGGTATGAAAGGTCCGAGCACAAGGTCCAGCATGCATACCATCGCACTGCAGCTCAGAGACCAGAAACGAGCTGCAGAGAACGGGCTTCCGCACTCTCTTTGTGGGTTGACTTAGCCATAACTGTAACGGACCGAGAGTGGGGGGGAGGCTCTAAGATGGCACACAGGAGGCAGCTCCGGTTGTTCAGTCGCCCCAGTGGCTCCCAGGTGACCACCAGGCGGAGGTGGTGACTGCTGACCTCCAGAGCTAAGGAACCCGCAGGCTGATAAACATCCAAAGTGCTTTCATTTTCAGCCTCTGCCTAACACACTGGCCTTTTCTTTCCTGTGCTCCCCAGGGCAGGCTGTCCCTGAGAATCTCACCTGCTCTATTTTTCCTTCCCTCCTTTCCCCGCAGGTTCCACTGCTCCTGGTGCTGGCACACCTGGCAGTCCGCCAACGTAGTCATCCTCTTCCACATGCACCTGGACCGTGCCCAGCGCGTTGGCTCGGTGCGTATGCGCGTGTTCAAGCAACTGTGCTACCAGTGCGGCACCTCACGGCTGGACGAGTCCAGCATGCTGGAGGAGAACATCGAGGGCCTGGTGGACAACCTCATCAGCAGCCTGCGCGAGCAGTGCTACGACGAGGACGGTGGCCAGTACCGCATCCACGTGGCCAGCCGGCCGGACAGCGGGGTACACCGCAGTGAGTTCTGCGAGGCCTGCCAGGAAGGCATCGTTCACTGGAAACCCAGCGAGAAGCTGCTGGAGGAGGACGCCCCCTGCACCGATGCCTCCAAGAAGAAGTCCCAGGCCAGTTTTGTGTACAACTTCTTCTCATTTCGCTGGTGCCTGTTCTGGGGCGCCCTCTGCCTGGTCATCGTGTACCTGCAGTTCTTCCGAGGCCGCTCTGGCTTCCTTTAGTGGAGTTGTTTAGGGGTGGAGAGAGGGGAGAACTCATTCTCCTCCTGATTCCGCTACAGATTCGATCTATGACTGCGGTCGTCAGCACACTGCTCGTCAGCGGAAGCAGGGGTAGGTTGGGGGCGGGCGTTGGGTTGGTTAAGGGCACATTGTCCAGTGGATTAGCCATTGGCCATATGTGGCTGTTTCGATTTAAATTAATTAAAATGAAATAAAAATTGTTCCTTAGTAGTTCCAAGCCCAGTTGGGGCTTACACAAAATTTGTCCCCATAGGGGCCATTGCTCAATGGCAGGCAAGGGTGGCTTCTAGGAAGATGAGCGTCAAGGGTTTGGGCATCAGGAGATCCTCAGAGGACTCCCACCCTCTGCTTTGTCTACCATGGGAACCCCTCAAGGCGACACTGAGCAACAGGCCTGGGATAAAGAGGCGCCAGCCAGCATCTCTTGTTAAAATGTGGTTTTGGGTTTAGAAATAGATTTTGCCAAAAATCCTCCAAGGGGATAGGTCATGTGTCAGAGGTAAAAAATAAATAAATAAAAGGTGGAGTATCTGACCATTGCACCAGAGGGAGGAAACGCTGCTGAAGATGGCTGTGAGGACAAAAGAGCTAGATTAGGTGACGAGAAACAAGGTCGGAAACATTGCCAGAGGAAAAGCTTCTCCTCCAGCTCGTTTTCCTCGGTGATGATTTCATATTTCGCTGGAGTTTCCTGACTTGGCGTTCCCCTCCCCGCAAGTACTGCAATGTTTTTATCCTTTCAGGACTGACAGAGAAGGTTATATCTGTTTCCGAGACTTTTTTCCCCCTCTTTAATTCAAGAAAATCTCATTTCTATGTCCCTACAACCAGCCCTCCATACTCACTGGCAACGCATTGGCTGCTTGTCTGTTTGTATCTGCTTCATGGGTCGGCTCTGTTTTAGAGTCCTCCTTTTCCGTATTTGTTCTGTTAATTGAAAAAGTGAGCGTTACTCGAACATTTCCCTTACATGCACACCATGTATTTTTGATCACATACATCTATCACCTTTTCTTGTCCTTCCAACCACTGGTTTCCTCTTTCCTGCTTTTGTTATCTGTTTTAAAACACATCTTACACGTGAGAGAAAGCATGTGATTTTTTTTCACTTAGTCTAACTTATTTTGCTTAACATAACCTCCAGTCCCATCCGTTTCTCAGTAAGTGGCGTTATTTCATTTCTCCTCATGACTGAATATATTCCATTATGTACATGTCACATATATTTTCACCCATTGGTCTGTTAATGGGTGATTCCGTAACCTAGCTATTGTGAATAGTGTCGTAATAAACATGGATGTGTTGGTGCCTCTGTGGTTTGCTGACTCACATTCTTCTGAGTATGTACCCAAGTATATTCTTGATTTCCCCCTCCCCCCTCCAGGAGCTTCTCCTGTGGCTGGACAGCACCTGCCCTGCATAGTTTAGCTGCCTTTTCTCTCCATTGCAATGTACTTGTGGATGTGCTTCTCTCGTTCATGCTTTGTATGCTGAAGGTGCCCCTGATTTGCTTCTGCTCATTTCCCCTCAGAACCTGGATGTTCACCATGTGTGAACTCTCAGTCCTCGTGGCTTTGCAAGCTTTCACACAGAGCTCCAGACACATGGACCAGGCCACGCAGCCACCAGGAGCTCTCTTCCAAAGCAGCTTGGCCAAACCCAGTCCTCAGCTTTTTAGCACTCTAGTGTTATCCTTTTATTTCTCTTCACCTCCATGGCACTCCACCCCACAGCATTTTTCCGTCATGTCCTATGTCATGTTGAGTGTTGTCTTCTTATCTCCCCACCCCACCCCACTTGCCTACCTTCTTGCAGGTCATGTTGGTTGTATGCTGTCTTCTATTCTTGCTCATGGTCCTACCCCACCCCACCTCACTTGGCCACCCCTTTCCATGTTATTTTGAGGTTGTCTTCTTGCTCTCCTTCATTGCTCTACCCTACCCCCAATTGTACTGCCCACCATGCTTAATTCTTCATATCTTGGGCATTTTCTGGACTCCTGCACCGGGTTTCAGCCAGTTACAAGACTTACAATACTGAACTTCTTCTCACTAAGTCTCCATTTTCTATCTGTGTCAGTAACTATAGCATCTAAATCATCAGTTATTAGGAAGAAATTAAACACTCGTTATGGCCCAAGGTCAAGATTTCCTTCTCATCTGAACTCAAAGAATCACAATCCATGAAATTGGTTTTTGGGGAAAGAAGATAACATAAGGAATACTGTGCCCAGGAAGACAAGAAGCAGTCAGTGAACCATGCTAATTAAGCAGTTAACTCTGTATTGAGTACTGGGGACAGAAAGATGAAGAACAGCTTACAGGGCATGCACCTGGCAGCAGACAATGACAATAAAAATGATAAGTGCAGAAGCAGAGATGGCCTCTAGATGGTGGGATCCTTCCTCTGTCTGAGGCTGCGACTTGCTTCACTGGGAGCCAGCGCTCATGCTTAGACTGAAGAAAAATATCTGAAAGCCACTGGTGACCAGTAAGGAGCTGAGATGGAGGAGACAGGAGATTGATGCTTAGTGAGAGGTTCAGTAGTGTTAAGTCTTGTAAATGAAAAATTAAGCCTGTCAGAAGTACATAACGATGCCGGCTAGTTTTATGTCAACTTGACACAAGATGGAGTCATCTGAGAGGAGGGAACCTCAACTGAGAAGATGCCCCCGTAAGACCAGGGTGTAGGCAAGCCTGTAGGGCATTGTCTTAATTGATGAGGGAAGGCCCAGCCAATTGTGGGTGGTACCATTCCTAGGATGGTGGCCCCGGGGACTATAAGAAAGCAGGATGAGCAAGCCATGAGGAGCAAGCCAGTGAGCAGCAACCCCCTCCATGGCCTCTGTCTGCACCAGCTCCTGCCTCCAGGTTCCTGCTCTACAAGAGTTCCTGCCCTCACTGCTTTTGACGATGAACTGTTATATGGAACTATGTGCAAATTAAGCCCCTTTCCTCCCCAAGTTGCTTTTGTTCATAGTGTTTCATTACAGCAGTAGCAACCTTAGCTAACACAATAACATGATGTAATGAGGCTCAGTTTAAAGGCCATTGCAAGAACCAATGCACCTTGTCAAGAGAGCAGACTTAATCTACTATTTCTGCTAAATGGACATAGTGCTAAATTGACTCTTAATCATTATGTGCATAGATTAGTCCATCAATCAACCCTCACTAAAGAAGCTTTTTTTTTTTTTTCTTCAGTATATAGCACTTAACACAGAGACCCACAACTGGCCACAGTGCAGAGAATAAGTGATGACAGAATGCACAGCACCTGTCTGGAACACCTAAATCACACAGCTCTCTTCAAGGCTCAGGGATCACTGAAAGAAAGTGGGCAGAAAGTTTACATTAGGTCACAGCAGGGGAACTGTTTTTATCACACATCAGTGGAACATATGGATTCACAGAGGGTGAGGCCCCATGCACAAGACCTCCACAGACTCGGGCCAGATAATATTCCACCATAGAGAGGTGAGCATGAAGTCCCACCCTTAGCTAAGGAGTTGGGGAGAATTAGTTTTCATTAAGCTTGACCACAGTCTAGTGAAAAGGCCACATCCAAGAATATGTGGTTGGCACAAATATGCTTGGTTTTCTTTTCTGACAAAGGGATACAAAGTTGGATGGGTAGGGAAGGATATTTGGATCTGGGAGGAGTGGGGTTGTTTGGTCTCAAACCCAGGACAAGTCTCTCACCACCCATGGTCTTCCCAGCACTCCCCACCCTGCCCCCTACTCTAAACCTCTCCCTCCCAGGGACTGGGCTTCAGCTTCCATTTTCCCAGCCCAATCTCTATTTAACTCAGTATTTTTGGCTACACCAGTCTGTTGGTCTCTCAGCCCAGGCTGCCTCTTTTGGTCAGAGGCTCCTCTTTTGCTCTCCTTTATTCCTCTCCTCTCATTGTCTGGTTTAGTCTGCCATCCATGATCAGCCTGGACTCCTCACTCTGCCTGCTTTCTTCCTTACATCCATAGCAAAAATATTCTCCATGCTCTAGGAGTAGTCATGTCCTCCTCCTTCTATTTCATTTTTTTTTTTTCATTTATCTGTTCCTGATGGCATAAATAAGCTCTCTTCCAAGGGACTCGGCCTTTCCGAATGAAGTTGCTGATGTGACTCACCTAAGGTAGGTATGGATCATTTGCTTTTGCTGACTTCTGCCACCCACTATATTTGATTACAAAGTCTTCAACCATTTCTTTTCTCCAGGTGCTCTAACCGTCTGCCTCTTCTTGCCTCCTTGGTAAGTGTCCTCTCTCTGGCTCCTGGAACCTGCTATGTCCTTTGGGACACCCATCATCTGAGCATCCCTCTGTCTCTCTCTTCCCTGGACCCTGCTATGCCCTCCAGGGTGACTACCATGTGGGCATCTCCCTACCACACCTTCTCAGACATCCATCACGTGGGCATCTTCCTGCTATACCTTTCAGGGTACCCACCACATGGGCATAAGACGCTTCCTATCTCCTCCTAGGAGCTGCCTACTACATCCCACAGCTTTTCTGTGCCCTCGTGGCCTCTCTGACACCAGAACCATCCCTTGGATGAAGTTCCTGCTTGTTCCTCTGTCCCTCATAGTGACATTGTTCTCTGTTTCAGCTCCCTCTTGAAGTTTATTGAAACCCTCCCCATGACCCTATCTCCAAAGACTCAATCTATCTATCTCAGTCTATCTCCAAAGACTAAATTTCCTCCACAGACTCAGAGATTTTGTTAAAACCTGGCTGTCTTATTACAAATGGCTTGTCCTCAGTACAGCTCAAAGTCCAAGGATGGCACACTTGATTTCCAAATTCTTGAAGACTGCAATAACATCTTTTACCACACAAGCCTGGGCTTCTAAAGTCTCTGATCTGTAAGCATTTTCAAGTTTCCACTGTGAAATCTTCTATCTCTGTGATTTCTCTGCACTCTGCTCTCAAGAATCTTTTAAGACAATTGTGTAATCAGTCCTTATCTTGGGATTTGTAAATCCACTGGATATGGCTAAAATCTCTAATCAAAAAGTTACTTAAAACTTGTAACAAAAGGTTGGATAAGTATTTGCTATGTGTGACTCAACTAACTTGAATTCAACTCTTGTTTAGGAATATAGATGTTTTAAATGTTAAGTTTGTGACTCTCCATCTTGGCTGGTGACTTCATCATGATGCAAGTAGCCACATGGCTGGCAGCCATCTTTCCTAAGGTTGAGGGGTACATGCCATGTAACGTCATCTTCTCAGTTAAGATGATCATGTGGTATAAAGCAGCTAAGAAGCAATTATAAAACTTCTTAGCCCTAAAGGACCCTCTGCTTATCACTGTATCTCCTTTTTCAACTAGAGAGACAACAATCAATCTCCCAAGTATCTTGGATTGGGATGGATTTTTATGATTAAATATAATCAAAAGTGATAAATTTCTAAGTTTGTAAAGATGTTCTCAGGTTTATGAAAACTGGCTTAAAGGATTGCATTTAACTAATTAAGTCTTTGCTAGCTATAGTAAACACCAGTCTTCTAAATTTAAATAAGAAACAATATACGTTTGCACAAAATAATATAGCCTCTTTGTGTTTGCTTACTTTTTCAGCTTTAGCTATTTGGGTAAACTGAGTCATACAAGAAAAATGGAATATTCTATAATAGTACGATATGACAAAGATCAAGAAAGTTCCTGATCTCTCTATGAACTGTTTTTATGGCTTAAACCTTTACTTTGATTCTAAAGGATCTTCAGTTAAATCTCCAACTGAAAATTTTAAAGCTCAAACATAACAGGGATACGGCTATAAAATCTTCATCTTATATAAGCTGTTAACTTATTACAAAATGTTAAAAATAGCTAAGACATACAAGTTAATGTGTTTTCAAAGTTAAACCTAAAGCAAGTAACTAACTCAGGTAAACTTAATAGATTGTCCTCAAACTCTTCAGAGGCCTACTGAATATGGCATTTAAAATGTTTAACAAGAAAGTTTCCCATAACAGACAGAAATGTCAGCTCCCAGTAGGAACCCTAAGGTCTACAGAGAAGAAAGATGGAGCATGACTACTTTACTTTGATTGTGGTGATGCTAACCCCTGGGCGAAACTGTCCCATGCCCTGCCAGCCTTCAGGGCTCTGCCCAAACTGTGGACATTCTTGGATTATATGCTTTGCTCTGCCTAAGTCAAGATAGGCCATCCCCTCATGTTCCTCTTGCATGGCAAAGTCTCTCAGATCTTCTGGGTCTGGAAGCTGAGGGCTGACCCTGCCCCAGGATTTCTGCCCCAGCAAAGTCATTGGGACCACAGCAGCCTAGGGTAACCACCCGGACAATAAGTCTCTG